GTTTAAATGGCCAGTTTCATCTTGTGATGATGATTTTACTTTTCTTTTCAACCATATAAAACTGTGGCAATTCAGACATTGAGTACTTACATGAAGAGGACCCTTGTAATCATTCAGTCACAGATATAGTCTAAAACTCTTAATTAGTTAAAATGATCTTATGAGCTAGGCTAAATGGTTGCCAAAAATTGTCCAGTGAAAAAAAAAACAAACACATCTGAGTCAAGGTGAAGGAGGAGGTCCACAGTGTGATTGGGACAGTCCCAGCTATGGATCGCCTGTCCAGGTGTTCTGAGAGGTTCTTGAAGCCTGAGACACACTCAGCTACTATCCTGATATCATCGGAAGTACCTTTGGCAAGGAGTGGATGGTTTGAAAGTTTGTGACTGTTATTTTTGAGCCACATTCCCGTCTAAGAAAAAAATAAGTTTATAAATAGAGAGAAATTTATCAGTATCCTAATAAGATAAGAGAAGATTTTGATTGGAAGCTATTGATGTATGCCATAAGAAAAACTAAACTATTTTCAGAGCATTTCCTTCTTTGCAAACATTCCCTCAGTTCCTCACACATACACACACACATAGACACACACACACCAACTCCCAGCACATTTCCTTAGATTAGGAATCCTGATCTAACCTCTTGGTATCTTCAGGGTCCTGTTTATTTGCAAATCTATAATGCAACACTGCCATGCTCAGAGAAGCAACCCCAATTAAGAGACCTTAAACCCTCTGCTATAGAGCAATTCTGACTCTTGGTGACCCCCTTTGGGTTTCCAAGGCCGTAAATCTTTATGGAAGTAGATTGCCTCATCTTTCTCCAGTGGAGTAACTGGTGGGTTGGAACTGCTGATCTTCTGTTTAGCAGCCCAATGTCTTACCCACTACACCACCAAAGCTCCTTAGGAGACCCTGTAGTACCTACATAATAATAGCTAGCAGTACCAAGTATCAGACATCATTCTAAGCAATTTATTTGTATTAACTCATTTAATACTTATTATAATAAGTAGGCACTATTATTATCCCTCCACCACTCATCTGTCAGTTTGTCATGTGATGGTAGCTTTTGTGTTGCTGTGAGGTTAGAGGATATGCCATTGGTACTTCAAATACCAGCCGGGTCACCCATGATGGACAGGTTTCAGCTGAGCTTCCATATTAAGACAGACATGGAAGAATGAAGGGATCCTCCACTTCTCAAAGAATTAGCCAATGAAAACCTTATGAATAGTAGTGAAACACTGTCTATTACTAGAAAACATTATGAGTAGCCCCAAAACATTGCCTGATATAGTGCTGGACGATGAACCCCTCAAGACAGAAGGCACTCAAAATATGACTGGGGAAAACTGCCTCCTCAAAGTAGAGTTGACCTTGATGACATAGATGGAGTAAAGCTTTCAGGACCTCCATTTGCTGATGCGGCATGACTCAGAATGGGAAGAAACCAATGCAAACATCCATTGATAACTGGAACATGGAATGTACAAAGTATGAATCTAGGAGAACTGGAAGT